AGTCCTGTGATAGCTAATTCAGCTCATGAGAAAAAAAAATCTATTCCCAAGGGCTCCACCCCATGACCCCAGCACCTCCCAACGCTGCCACATTGAGGAATTTGGGTTCTAACACATGAACCTTCAGGGTGCACATTCAAACCACAGAGGAATTGGTCCATGTCATGAGGTTGTGGAATCTATGGACAGACTTTCATGGCATTCTCATCATCCTTTCAATGCCCACGGGCTCTGCTGTGATGCACCTTCCTTATGTCTCAACATTAGTGATTTATGTCTTCTCTCATTTTTTCTTATTTTGGCTAAGATTTTACCGATCTTTTCAAAAAACAACATTTTTTTTTTACTTTGCCTGTTGATTTCCCATTTTCAAACATCTTGTGTGAAGTTCTGATTTTTTTTTTTTACCATGGATTTCCATTTAGTCATCTTTTTCTGACTTCCCAAGGTCAAACTTTGGAGGGTGAATTTCAGAGATTTCTTATTTACTAACATGTGCATTCAATTCTACAGCCTTCCCTGCAGGCCCTACTATTACTGCAGCCCACAATTTTATCAAAAATTAAACTGTGTTTTCACTTCCATTTAGCTCAAAATAACTGATAACTTCCCAGCACACAGGAAGCAGAGGCAGGCGGATCTCTGTCAGATGGAGGCTAGCCTGGTCTACATAGCAAGTTCCAGGCAAGCTAGGACTACAGGAAGACCCTGTCTCAAAAAACAAATAACTTTTAATTTCTCTTAACATTTCTTTAAGTTTTTTTCAATTTCTGCGAACTTTTTATGTGTGTGTGAACATGTGTTTACATGTGTGTGGAGGCCAGAGGCTGATGTTAAGAGTCTTCTTTGAGGGGCTGGAGAGATGGCTCAGCAGTTAAGAACACTTGCTGTTCTTCCAGAGGACCTGGGTTCAATTCCCAGCACCCACATGGAGGCTAACAACTCAAGTTCCAGGGGATATGATGCCCTCTTCTGGCCTCTGCAGGGCATTGCATGCATGTGGTGCACTTACATACTTGGAGGCAATTTTTTTTTTTAAAGAGTCTTCTTCGATTGCTCTCCACTTTATTTACTGAGGCAGGGCCTTTCAGTTAAACCCAGAGCTCTCCAATATGGCTGCTCTGGCTGGCCAGCTTGTTTTGAGCGCAGTAGAGAATGAAACACTAGACCCAACCCCGGCTCAGGGGCTTCATGTTTCCAGTAAAGTATTACTATTAGTCTAAAACTCTCACAAAGGATAATAATGACTTCTCAGATAGTAGACATGATTTTAAAATTGATATTGCATTCTAATAAATCATGAAAATGATTGGATACCAACATCAGAACTAAACCCCAATACATACTCACTTAGAAGTTTAGGAATTGCCTTTTTTTTTTTTTGGTATTGCCATTTTTTACATCACAGGTTCCTCAGAAGTAGCTTATACCATTGTAAAACCTCACATTTCAACATCTGAAGTCATTCTTATGGTTAAATAATAAGATTTCAGTATCTCGGGGCCATTTCATCATGCTCTTAATGCAAAATCAAAAGATTAAAATTTTGTTTCTTAAATAAAGTGCTTTGATAAAACTTTTATGATACATCATTGAATTCATTTCTACATAGATAATAGTACACAAAAGAAATATTACATTATACACATCCCTGCAGCTACCAATCAATGGACCATAAAGGGTAGAGTCTATGTCTGTGTTGTTTTAAGGCACATATTTCTCATTTATGTTAAAATTTTGCACTTGAGTTACAGAACTCTTGTCCATGGAGCCAGCTCCTGACCCCAAATGGCTTTGCCATGAGACTGCACAGGCCTAGAAAATACACAGTGTGTCACACATTTTCACAAAGCTGCTCAGGTGCTAATAAAGTAGTCATTGTTTGATCAACTATATCTTCATATGTGCTTTAATTTTCCTGTATGTGTAGATCCTCATTCAACCGTGTACTTTAACGCTGTAGGGAGTGAGAACTCCTAAATGAACATGAGAACACCTGATCCAGGACTAAAAGCAGAATCAAGTACCAACTGTCCTTCAGAGCCAGCCCCCCTCCACCACCATCCCCACCCCCGCCAACTGCTGGTGATGGTCTCTTTCTTGTTCTGTCTCTTAAGGGAAAATTTTAAGATGCAGTGATTGTTAGATATGTAATAACTATTCCCACTCTCAGAGAGGGACACTGAGTCATCCAAAATCATAGAGAGATCAGGGATTATTTTCCAGTGCAGACACAACCCACACAGTGGGATAAAAGGGTGGGCAGAGAACACACTCAAAATCGACAACGGATAAGAAAGAACAATAATCCAGAAGCTTCCCTCACCAAATTAGTTCCAAAAACAAAAACAAAAAACCCACTAATATAAACAGCAAAGACCTCAAATATTACTTTTAAAAGTATAAACAGGTTTTGGTGACTCATAGCTGTCCATTAGCTTACAATAATAGTATTTGAACATACTATATGTGATCTCAGAATATCCGTGTGGTCTCCTGCTCAGCCACATGTTCTATTTCCCTGTCAAGTGCAGAGAAACCCAATGGCTACTTTTTTCAACAACAGAATAAAGATTCCTGAGGGTCATCGTCTAATCTGTATTTTCCAGAATTAGGTAGATCTTTGCACTCCGCTATAAACTTTCGAAGTTCTGTCTCTGGGAAGCCATTCTGTTGGTAGTGCTGTACAGAAGAATGGAAAAGCTCTTGTTAATAAGTCCCTCTCAGACAGCTTTATTCCAAATTCAGAATGGAGCATTTGGCAAAGAAAGGGCTAGTTCCAGAGATATGTTTGGCATGCCCAGGCATCTTCAGGAGATGTCACCTCTGAGCTGACTCTTAGGCTAGGTGGAGGTGAAGTGGGCCTGGGACTCAGCAAAAATCTTCCTGTGCGCTCTCCTCCTGGTCTGCCCCCATCCACAGGGGTATGTGGAATCTGGGATTCTCTCCTGTCCTGTGGAGAATTAACTCAGCTGCATCTCAAGTCTGACAGCCCTGTGACTTCCAGGCCAGGGCAAAGAAATTTCTTGAAAAGAACCTGCTCCAGGCAACCAGAATACCAGCTGATCTAGATTCCTGGAGCTTGGCTGGGATCTGAGCAGTGACCATCCCTAGTGCTCCCCAGATGACCCAAGCACCATCTTGGCTGCTCCAGAGTTGGTCCAGGTGACATCAGGACAAAGATCACAATGCCAGAAAGCATCTTTCCAACTACACACCCTGTTAGAGTGGTGACTTTAGGCAGACAGGATTGTTTAGGGGTTTCATATGTTTGTCAGCTTGGAGTATGAAGCTAGGACATTCCCTGACCAGAAAAATATCAGAAATAATCTGAATTGTGGTCTGAGCCCATGGAAACAGGTGTTATAACATCTAAAATAAGAGGCTCAGGCTTATGTCATCAAGAGTTTCACAGACGCCTCAATGTCAAACTTAAATGAGTGTTTTGCACTCAGAGCTGAATGCAGTAAGCTTTGAACACACCATAGAAATGTTTAGACAACTGCATCTATATTCTTTCCTGCTCACACTGGGGATCAATGTGTCCATCTGCTGGGCAAGCATTAAATGAAGCAGGGAGACAGGTCAGTCCCTGAAATATGGTCCTATAAAAATGACATCATAGCCCAGACTTCATGAGCAAGGTATTCATAGTTATCAACTCCAAACCATGAGCCTCTCTTCATCCCAGGAGCTGATCACATGCCATCATGCTCCATTATTCCCCTCATCTCAGAAAGGAAGGTCTCCACTTGGAAGTTTCTTTGTCAATGGTATACCCAACTCCCTACAAGGTCATTCAAAATTTTAACACATGTAGATAGTTTTTCTACCTTCCTATATTTCAAGAGGCTCAAATAAAGATTTTTGAATCTCCCACGTGAATGACAGCAGCTTTTCATGAGTTTCTGATTGAAAACCACATGATGGGCTAACATTTGACAAGCTGATCTTTGGGGTTCTGAGGCCCTGCCCCTCAGATGGTGGCAAGCAATCTTTGCAAAGCAAAATGGGTTCAGTTATAGCACACGCCAAAGGAGGGGTCAGTTTTTCTTCATGAAAACTGGGTTCTTAAAGTTCCCCCCAAAATGTTGGTTTACTCAGATATCATTTATTTTATACACCCAATGTGTACTGACCCTTATTAATCTAAGAAAAGTCAGAATTCTTATTTAAGGGGTGGGGATACAATTCAGTGATGCAGGGTTTGTCTGGCATGTGCCGATTTTGATCCTCAGTATCACTACCAAGAAAAAAAATGGAAAAAAGAAAGCTTGTTTGAAAAGTCACAAGTACTTGGAAATAAAATTCTCAACATTTTCCTTAATTTTTATTTTTCCCAGTTATTAAAATTAAATTATCTCTCTATCCTTAATAAATTAACATTCCATCAACTTTCCCTCTTAGTGAAAATTTTTACTGTTACTACAGAAGTTCTAGGAGAACGATGGTACTTCTGGCTCTTCATAACCTACCTTAACCGTTTCGTATGTGTCTGTGATCAGCGCGATGAAAAGACTCAGAATCATGTATATAAAGAGGCTGATGAATGAGTACAGATACATTCGGCTGAACAGCCAGACCAGGTAACTTTTCTGCTGCATTTTTGCAAATGTGGCAAACATATCATCTCCATTTATCAAAGAGAAAAGGCATTCGGAGACCCTGTTCAAAGAACGGAACTGGAAAAGGAAAAGAGAATAGTTCACTTTCTTCTACATTCCTTCGCACAGGTGACGTTTGTCCATGGCATCATACTGAAAATAATCACACCTGGTTCATATGCCAACATAAGCCTGCTGCATAGCCTGAGTGAAGGCAGGAGAGGCAGTTCCTCAGTGCCCTTCAGGGTCAAGTCACCTTCATAGAAAGAGACCTCGAAATGCTTCTGCAGAGATACCTGAGTTCCAGCCACACATGCTCCTAACTCTCATTGTAAAGTCCATTCAATTTAAGAGAATAGATAATATTCAAGACCATCGCTCTCATAAACTTTTCAGATATTTCTATAGCTTCGTTTCATTCATATATGTGTGTGTGTGTGTGTGTGTGTGTGTGTGTGTGTCTTTTTGAAACAGGGTCTCCTTATAGCCTCAGCTGGCCTGGAACTCAGTCTCCTTATAGCCTCGGCTGGCCTGGAACTCACTATGTAGACCAGGTTGGCTTCAGACTCACAAAGATCTGCTTGCCTCTGCCTTCTAAGTGCTGCAATTAAAGGCTTGGACCACCATGTCCCGCTTCCTACAGTACTTTTTTTTTTAATGTGTATGCGTGTATTGCCTGCATGTAGGTAAGTGCACCTGTGCCATGCACCTACAGTACTTTTTAAATCAAGTCACGTGTTTAGTTGGTTTACCTACTGGCGAATGTCAAATGGACTTAACTTTACTGATGGGAGAAGGAACATAATTATCTAATATTCCAATTAGGATTTGAGGCAGTGGAACAAACCAATGGTTCTTGCAAAGTGTTCACACTTTACTAGTCTATAAAAGTGGCAATACATTTTAAAACTGGATTACAGGATAAAAATTTTATTTTGTTTTTTATTTATATTTATTTTATGTGTATAAGTGTTTTGTCTGCATCTGTGTAAATAGACCACACGTGT